AGATCTTATGCAATTATATCAACTTCTTCAAGGAGGGCGGCCAAGGAGGAGGTGCTGAGCTCCTCCCTCTGGTCATCAGCAATAGGACGCAAGGAAATGGAATGAAGCTGCATCAGGAGAAGTTCAGGTTGGATATTAGGAAAAAAATCTTCACTAAATGGTGGTCAGTCACCGGAACAAACTCCCCAGGGAAGTGGTCATGGCACCACGGTTCAAGGAACATCTGGACAACAAGCTTTGTTGTGCAGTTTAGTTTTGGACAGTCCTGCGAGGAGCAGGGAGTTGGACTCAGTGATCCTTATGGGTTCCTTCCAACTTGAGATATTCTGTGATTCTCTATTATACATTGTAGAATTTAATATTTCATAACACAAGGCACACTGGCAATTTTAAACTAAATGTATTACTTCATTGCATACAGTTTTCTTTCAAGTTTTTTTTTTTTTCGGTAATGTTGACTGTTACATCAGTTTAACTTATGTTGACGAGCAAAGCATGCTTTAAAGCAAATGAAGTTCATCTGTCCATTAGGATTAGTAGCTGCAGCAACAGAGGACTGTCCTGTGGGTGGTAGTAATGCTACGTCAATGAAGACTTGAGCTAAACAATCTTTCTGACATGGCTGACTGACACATGGAAATATTTTCTGAGTACCAAAGTCAGATGAATAAAATGGGCTATTTCTGTAGCTGTGCACAGGATCTGTGTATATTTTCCCCTCATATGTGTATTCATGAGGTGAAATATAGTATGTGTGTATATATTTTGTATTTATATTAGGGAAGAAAACTCTTCCAAAGGACTCACAGGTAACAATATGACTTTCCACTTTTCAGGAATGCTTGATGGTCCACTGGTTTTCTATTGCTTATATTTGTCTTCCCGGTTTAAAATTATTTTAAAATGTGAAATCTTCTCATTTGAAAGTTTTTATTGCTTATTGTGATTTTTTTTTTTAATTCATTCCCCATGGTGCTTAGCTGTACTTCATCATTGGAAATTCAAGAATTTCACAGCGAATTGGAAAGCTGTGGCTTATTTTAAGTGATACAGCTTTGTTTCATTAAAAAAATAAAAAAAAATTAAAAAAGGTCATAGAACTTAATAATTATTTTCAGTGTCCAGATTTCTCAATCTGGATCTTTTTCAGCAGGCATATGGCTTAAATTGGGCACCCAAAATCAAAGGATGTGAAATCTTTAATTTGGAAAATCTTGGCCTGTCTTTAGTTGAAAGAGTTTGGGGTTTATTTTTTTAAGTCGGAAGCCTGATTTAGATTTTGCTTCCTTTCCTCTAATGTATTCCATTGTAACAGTACATGAGCACTCTCATTAGATTTTTCTTCTTTTATATGTGTCTCTTTTATTATTTGATTTGCGGGTGACTGAGAATAAACATCATCTGAGATGAGGTAGTTTTGCTTTTGTTATTTTGTTACTGTTTCTGTTGGTTCCAGTGATATCCTTCTTTAAAAGCTTTATCTCACTGAACATGAACTGGTTCTCCAATTTTTATTAGGATCACCACCATTCTTTCTCTCTCTGTAGTCCCGTTTTGAAAAGATGTTTCAGTAAGAATATGTACTTATGGTAATACTTTTTATGGCCTATATCTCTCAGAAATTCATGTGGTCATGATGAGAACTCCATGTGCACACTGCAAATTGGTGTTTACTCAGTTGCTGTACATGCTAACACTAACGCTTTCTAAAAAACACTCAAATCTCAAAGCTTTTGCCATCATTATAATTAATTCCTTCTCTTTTTGCTGTCTTTAATCTTGAGCAGTTTTTTTTTATTTGTAATAAAAATACTTTTACAGATGAAGGGCTTCTTCACAACTTTACTGTCCCTTTGAAAGGCTTATGTGCTGTATGTGTGTGTAATTGCATTCAAAAGAGTTAAAAGAACATTGAGTTTACAAAATGAGTCTCTCAAACTGAGGGAATTCCAGGGCTTTGTTTCTTTCTGCAGTCCTAATTAGTTGTCTTGTGCACATATGACATATCTTTATTTTCTTGTTGACTGTTTCCTCATAGAATGTACCAGTTGCAGTTTGCTTACTCAAGACACATACTGGTTGTGTTCTGTTTTATTATTCCAGTTCATTTTATTGTCCAATTATGCGCATTGTTCAGTGGTTGTGTGAAGATGAAATTGTTCTATAACAATCATCAGTAGTATTTCAGTGTTCAGAATAGCACCAGAAGTGTCTTACTGAGTAGTGAATTGTGTGATTCCTGTTAATCAAGCTTCTGAGGTCTGTTGATATTAAAAATATGTGTTCGTGTTTATATTTAAATATTTTTAAATATTGTTTGCATATATAAAAACATGATTCTCTGACGTCCGCTTTGAAGACTGAAAGTTATCTGGCAGAGAAAAAGGAGAATTATTTACAGAGTCATAGTATGGATTCGTTACAGTTTCACAGAACTTCCGTAGTGCAAATGTACGAGAGCTATGGGCTTGTATATGCAAAACCTCTTATGTCACTGTAAGTATTATAGAAGTGAGAGTTATCATTTGGTACCATGGGCATTGAGATAAGACAAAATGTGCTTTTATGCATCAAATGACTGTAAGACTTTCAGATTTAAAGATTTCAAATTTCATGTGACCTTCACAGTCTATGTAGTTAAGCAGTTGGGGAAATTTTAGGTAATGACATAGATACCTGTATTGTTTGAAGGTTTAATGCCCAACCTTTGTTGCTTTTTGACAGCAGAGGTATAGAGTGATAGTTGTAGCCTGCACATGATTCAAGGCCAGGTTGGGTGGGGCTTTGCGCAACCTGGTCTAGTGGAAGGTGTCCCTGCCCATGGCAGGGGGGTTGAAATTAGGTGATCTTTAAGGACCCTTCCAACTGAACCTGTTCTATGATTATATGAACTCAAGTTTCCAAACAGTATGACAGTTATGAGGATTGATCCGAGTATTACAAGCCCTAAGTAAATTCAAGACTTCCATCTTTTAAACTGCTTTAGGAAAGCTTGAGTTTATCTCAAAATATCTACCTAATATTTTAGAAATGCATTGATTTTGGTTCAGACATGCGAAGGTGGTTGTCAATAGTGTTTATAATTAGCCCTTTCTTTGAAATAAATGTTTTCTTTGAAAACATTATGGACCCTGTGAGAGATTATCTACTTCATATTTATTTTGATGAAGGTTGTGACTTTATTAACATTGCTGTCTCTTATCTAACCAGTGATTACAGTAACACAAACCATTTTCCCCAACAGGTGAATCTAGGTTTGAAAGTTTTTAAAAAATAATTAATTCCACTAGTCTTAATTTAGGAGTTGAATAAGAATTCTCATGTGGTGTTGAACATGTGGGGCTGACACATTTTCATTTCTGCACTGACTTAGCCGTACTTTCTATGTTTATTTTGTTGGACGGATAGAACCATTTATTGTACAAGCTGAGTTGATGCCAACATAATATTTCCAATAAGTTGTTTAATCACTGAAGAAGTCTCCTTTCAAACTGGGCAATGCGCCCGTTGCCAGTGTGCAGCACTGGGTTAGAATAACTTAACAATTATACTGGATGTGTTTAAAAAGCATCCTGACTCAAATCAGCTGTAACTGTTGGACAAGGTAGTTAAGTATGCCAATAATTTTTTAACATCATCAAAAAAGGACTTGCCTTTTTTTCTTGGTCATTGGAGGCCATCAGCACTTTTTCACACTCATAGAAGTTTGTTTAGCACCGAGGAAAATTTGCTGTCTTTGCAATTTTCCCAGCTCCAGTTGGCTTACATTGCAAAAAGCAAAGCTTAGTGTTGAACCTACTTTTTTTTCTTTTTTTTTGGAAGAACTCAAAGCACTGACTAGCACTGACTAGCCATGTGCCACATAATTTGAACGTAGACATTACGAAGAGACGTGTTCTTGATCATACTTTTGTTATGAGTTCTGAAGAAAATACTAAAGCAATCAGAGCTGTTTGTGATCCGTTCTCAAAGTATTTCTGAAATACAGAAGAAAATTTCTTCCCTCTCAATGTGGATAACATACCAGATATGAAGCTAGTATATCATTCTGCTTTCTAAACAGTAAATTAAAGAGCCGTCTCTACTACTTGCATGATGTTTTGGGGAAATCTTGCGACGAAAGAATCTGTCTTTTATTCCAAAATCCAAACTCCAGATATAATTATGGAGAAAAGGGCTGAGGAAGCAAAGCTAGCCTGTTTTGTTTTGATTGGACTAAAAGTTTAGACTTTAGTTTTCTGTGGTCAAGAGGCTGAGATTAAAGAGTGTGTAATTAGATTCAATACTCCATGTGTCTTAATGCCCAGAAAGGCCAAACCCTGTCTGCAGGCAGTGGTAGTTGCCAGGATCATCAAAAATAATTCATAGATACAAGTGAAAAGGAAATTATGCACACTTTCTGAAATAGTTTGTTCTTACTTGCTCTGTCTTGATTCTGTAAAAAGAAAGGGTAGGAAATCCCTCAAAATATCTAGTAAACAAGTAGAACTTGAGGTTGAAAAAAAATGGTTTTACTTCTGGAAACAGATTGCCTAAATCTTGTAGGTAGTCCTCTATAGTCAAGTCATGTTTCACTGGGTTTTTCCTTTGATCCTCCTATTTTCCTTCTTTAGGTATAGTGGTACCCAAACCAAAATAGGCTGTTAGATGTCTGTGGTTTTTATAGGTGTGTGCATGTATGAACAAAGGGAAGATTTCTGCCACATAGCCACAAGAGGGCAGGTGCACCTTTTGATTAATAGTTTATACCAAATAATAATTAAGGGGTTTGTTTCAGAAATGTCCACATTTAGGTTAATAGTAATGAGCAAAACAAAGCATTCTTTTGTCTGAATTAACAGTTGAGGGTAATGCTCAAGAATGAGTTGGTGTTGGTGACCTTCTGGAAATGAAATGATGGTACTTGAGAGTTCCACTCTTCCCCAGTCCAGTTGCCCAGTGCTAGGGCTGATGGGGAAGCATGCTCTGGACTGCGCTCTGAGTGCTCTTCTCTTTTACAGGCAAGTTAAAGATCAAAATAAGAAAGTAGCAAATCTGAAGCACAAAGAGCAAGTGGAGAAAAAGAAGAGTGCACAGATGCTGGAGGAGGCCAGGAGACGAGAGGATAATCTCAATGACAGCTCCCAACAGCTTCAGGTAACATGGGAATTGAATTAAAGCAATATGGCTATTCAGCCAGGCTTAACTACCTTGCTTTCCACTGTACCTTCTGGTCCATTTTCATAGCTGTTACCTAAGAAATTTGTTTAAAAGCACACATCTATCCCAGAGCATCTTAAAGAAAGCAGCCTTTCTGTTGCCTTTGTAGCTTACTCCATTTTCATCAAAAGGAAAATAGTTTTACCTGTCTACTCGATTATGAAGTGCATTGAACTAATTTTATCTTTCTGGTATTGAGTTTGGTGTGACATTTCTTTCTTCACTGCTTTTCTAACAGCCTTTTTATTTAGCTGTTTTGTGTATTTTCCCAGCTGGTTTTACCTTATATTGGTGCCTTCAGTAAATTAAAGATAAGCACGTAAGTATTCTTACAAATTGGAATTATTGTGGGGTAACTGGAGGACCATGTTTTGAGTGTTTACTCATCTTTGTTTGACAGTGAAACCCTGCTCTACCTTGTGAGTCCTTGGTGTGCTTACTAGTCAGTTTGCTTTATTTCTGAAATAATAACATCCTGCTGCCTCACAGAATTAGCTGGTTACCTCAAATCTGCCTAGGTACATGAAAGTCACTGGTATAAAAGCAAATCAAACGTTTCTCATTGTGCTATATGTTAATACAAGATGTTTTATCAAACGGTAAGTTTTCAAGTGCTGTCATAAAAGTGTTGAACTATTGCCATGAAGTAAAGCAAAAATACCATGTTGCTAAGTGAGGAGATAGTAGATGTTTTCCCTGTGACTTCTTTAATTTACAAAAATAGTTCTCCTTTTGGTGAGTGAAAACAAGCATGGAAACAGTAATATACCCTTGCAGTCTTTTAAAACTATTTTTTAAATCTTCAGAGAGAAATCCTTCTCTTAGGTATTTTCCTTTATTATCCTAGGTTAAGTCCTGTTTCCTGTTAGCAGCTATGTATCTTAGTACATCTACAGTGAAGACACAGAATAAATCCTAATAGTTCACTAGCAAAAATAAATGCCCTGGTTAGTTTAACAGATACTTCTTTACTCTGTTCTGTGGAATTCCAGGGGGATGGTTTCAACTCTTTAAGAACTTTTGAAAGAACCACAGAAACATGCGTCCATGTGGAATGCTCTCAGATGCACCATTTTGTGGTTTTCCCCTCAGTTCCAGTCCTTTACATTCAGAGTACTGAAAGAGTTAAGTTCCAAGTGTATGAAAATGATTTCATAACTGCAGACTTTTATAAAAGGTGGGGATGCGGGATTTCTACATCTGCTGATGGGTTTTGTGGCTGTAACGCTATGGCAATCCACAAGGCTCTCATTATGTGGCAGCTTAAGTTTAAATAACACAATCCTCCTGGTATTAGTGAAATGTCTTAAAAAAATCCTAAAACTAATACAATATTTGGTTAGATTTCTAATCTGCATTTGAATAAATCTATATCTTAAGTTTGAAAAGCTAAGTGGTACTTCACATTTGCCTTGCAATTATGTGCATGGAGTATTAAGCAAATGACACTGTTCCACAAGACCATATTCTTGGGTTTTATGTAGCTCTTTCAGATTTTAATAGATGCAGCTTTCTGTTCGGGCTCTTTTCCCCACAATTATTCTTCCCCTTTTCACTTTTCTTTCTTTGAGACAAATGGAATGCATTGGAAAAAGCCTGAAATCTGATTTCTGTCAGCTCCTATGTGCATACTAAAAACTGCTGGGTTTGTTTTCTGATTTATTTTGGTTCAAGGTTTGTTTTTGTAAAAAACTGTGAGTTATGTAATGTGCTTGTACAATTATGCATAGCAGTGGACAGACAGTGGTATTTTGGTTACTGATAACTTTAAGCCCTGTTAAAACTATTCAACACCAGTTTCTGATTCTTCAAAGAGATTGCACAGCTTTGCTGGCAGCAGTGAGGCAGCTTTTGCTCAGAAATTAGGTGGCAAAAAATGGTGCTGCTTTGTATCAGAGTTCTTTAAGAATGTATAGCTGTCCTTGCAATGTCCTATCCAATTCTTTACTTACAAAGTATTTTAGCAGTAGAGAGATCATAGATATAAAACTATGAATGGCATAGTTGGCATGGTTTTACTTTAAATATTTCCTCTTTTTTAATTTCAATGTAACCAACTTATGTCCAGGAACAAGAAACAACTCACCAATTGTCTATTTTGAGGAAGCCAAGTTGTTTGATATTTTTCTCTTTCTCCAGCGTTACTTTGTGGTAGGTTGGTAGTCTAACAGCGAGACTAAAATTAGGAACGAAGTATATAAGTTTATTATCTTTACCTTTTTATATCCAGGTTTTGCAATTAGTGATATCTGTAGAGCAGTCCATACTTTGTTCCTGTTTGCTTGTGCTATGTTTTACTCTGCACTGATGTCTTTTGCTTTCTATATAACTATATGCAAGTATTTCTGAGATTAAAAATAGGCATTATTAAATGCATGTAGAATTTAAGATTGAAGTGGGACGCGATAGTCAACATTGATATGTGTAAGCTACCATAGTATTAATACTACTCAATTTTCCCAAGTGCTTTTCCTGCTTTTGTGAACCTAATTGTCCTGTTTGGGTGGGCTCAATTTTGGAGAGTCTTTCCCCATATTCAAAAGAAGGCTGAAGGGAATGCTTTCATTCACAGATGAAAAAGGTCTGTATGCTCTAATGAAAATATCAGGCTAAGGTAAAATATGGAGTGTTTAATGATAAGTGACAGGTTCAATAAAAACTCCTTCCTTTAGAAGAGCCCTCTGCTTATGGCCTCCCTCTCTCAAGGACTGCAACATTTTGGTTTCCTGGAAGTAAAATTTACTCAGGACTACATTTCAGTTTGTTAGTTATGGAGACCTGTCTTCTCCATCGACTCTAAAGGGCACTACCTTCTAATCAATAAAAAAAATAAATTTAAACCTGAGAGGAACATGGATTTTTTTTTAATTTTTTTTATGGAACCATTGTTGGCTTTGGGGTCAGGACACACAAGCACCAATTTCAGATAATTTTGGTCTTGGTGGTTTTGGCTGGAATTAATAATAAGACATTATGAAATGCTTAAAAATATATGATCTGCATGTTCTTCAGTTGACCGTCTGCAATCCAGTCAAATAAACACGCTCCCAAGCACATACTCCACTCCTCCTCACTCTGTCCCTAACAGGCATGTGGTTTCTTTCTTCCTGAGTCCAGTAACAAAATGTTCGTTTATTCAGAGAGTTCTGATGATGGAAATTTGGTATTTTGGGGAGTGGAGGAAGAATGAAAACCGTAATGTCTCAATTTTAGTGAGATGGATAAATGGCTTTCCAAATTTGTCTTTTCCTCCTGGGTTCCCTTAAACCACAACTCTCCAGAGATCTGAGAGGTTAACGAGTGTCTGGCCTATAAGCAGGATAAAAAAAACAAGCTGTTGGACTGGAGTAGAAAATTTTTGCTTCAAGTAACTCAAGCTTGGCTATTGTGATAAGGAATTGATACGTTGTCTTATCCTAGAAAGGTAACATTTACTGAAATTTCATGATACTCGAATGGGTACTTGGAACTGACATCTGGAAGGTAGTATGCATATTTTCTTGTTCTACTGCTTCAGCATCCTCCAGAGTTTTTAGGAGGAATTTTCAGAATGCCTTGTGGCATGGAGTTGTGTACTATTCGATCTGTACTGCAGCAACTATCCATCTATCTCTAATTGCTGATGACAAACTGTATGTCTGGAGGTGTGTAAAATATATTTGAGTGCTTTAGTGAACAGCTGTAAAACCAAGTAAACTTACTAATTTTTTTTTTCTTTTTCCACACCCAAGTTTAGATAATTTAGTGTATAATTCTATTTTGTGAACTATATATGCAAGTGTATGTTCATTGCTCCTTGTGATGATATAATTCCTCTATCATGTTGACCTTTGAATTGGAAAGATATCTTTCTAGCAGAAAGAAATAAATTTTCAATCTACACAAATGTGCAATTTTTTCTTTGATAAAATTATTTTACCGGGATCCAGACAAGGCTCAATGAAATCAATAAGTAGGCAAATACCTTCTCATCAAACGAGCTTTCTAAATTCATTAAATGTCAACCAAAATCAGGACTTATTTTACTGAAGAATTTCTTCTCAACATGCTGTGATTGGCTCTTGAGGGTAGGGTGGCTGAAGTTTTTTCATCATCTGATCTGTGATGGTGATACCATCCTACAGTGAAAATCTATGGCTTGTTATCTTTGGGCTGTTAGTAAAGAGAGATCTTGCTTCTCAAATCAGTCTATGAACTTGGATTTGGACAGTGTGTGCAAAGCCTCTGGAGAAATGGTTAGATTTAAAGAAAAGTTTTCTAAACTTGAAGTTCAAGATTTCCTCCATAACTTCCTGGCCGTTATCAGCTTTGAAGCAAATTGGTTATGCTAGTTAAGTGGTGTTATATGTTTCCCTGGGATAAGTGAATTTTAAGTGCTGATGAGTCCCTGGCTAATTTTAGTTCCGTATAGACCACTGCCATATCAGATTCCAGCCTTGCCCTCCGGCTGAGTGAACTTTCTTTATCTCATGAGCTCAACATGATAAGGCCCATGAAACTGTCAGCTACTCCATATCAGCCTAGTAGAAATGTATTCTTTAATGCCATCTTGCATCTGCAGGATTTATTCCAGAGAACAGTCTGATGTATCAGACCTGTATTTTCTCATTGAGCTCCGATCCATCTTTGGGCATTATTCAGATCAAAGCATTCTCTTTCTTTCCCTTCCTCTCCCAGTACTTTTTAGACCTGAATTACATCAGGGAGATGTTTTGGCCTCCCTTTCCCTGGATAATTCTCTGTGCTGCTCAGCCTTGTAGGTGTCAGTGTTCCTTGGGGCTTGGGTGTCATTGGTTCCTTGGGTGTCATTAGCACCTTCACAGGTGGCTATAATTTCACCAAATGGTATATTCAGTTCTAGGTGAACCTCCTTCTGCCTTCTAGGATGGAACTTATGGCATAAAGTGCTTGAAGGATATGAATGCGCTTTGCAATTC